TTAGCTACTCATGACGAAAAGTAAATAACGAGAAATATAAATTGCGGTAGATAAAGACATAATGTAAATGCGGAAAGTAAATACGGAATATAAATGACGGAATAATAAAGATGCGGAAAGCGTAATAAATAAATGACGGAAATAAAATGCTAGTAAGCGTAAAGAAATTAAAGACGGAATATAAATAACGATAATATAAATAAAGCGATTAAATAAAGCAAGTAAATGGAACTTGAAATGCCAAAAGTTTTGTAATATTAGAGAAAGARACTTATTCTCCAAGTAGTTGGGAGAACTACTTGAGAGAAAAGTAGGAGAAAATGGAAGATGAGGTGTGAGGTGTGTCTTAAACTCCTCCCAACAACCTCTATTTATACCAAGGATTTATGGGGGCAAAATAGCCTTTTCACCCTTTCCTAGTTCAAAACTAACTTAAAAGTACATAATACTAACTTAAAAGTACATAATACAAACTASTARTTAGAAGGTAACTAATATAAGTCTTGTAATGCTCCAGCTAATCTGAGCAAAATACAGCTAATRCAACTTTAKAAGCCTCTCAAATGTCATCCCATATCATGTCAATCACTTCTAAGTCTCATCCATCTYTCTATCAGCCATCAGGTCATGCTACCACATTTCCACAGCATCAACCTGCTCCAATCTGTCCAAAATAAGATCAATTTAGACCAAAATCCACTAAACATAGATTCATCATTCTTCTTAGCATAAAAACAGAGAAAAGAGATAAAATGACTCAAAGTTGGGATATGAAAGCAAAATAACCTATCTAAAAGAGAGTAAAAGGGTAYTTTACGTACTAAATACTTAGTACGTATCACACCCCCAAACTTAAAGCGTTGTTTGTCCCCAAGCAACCAAAAGACAACTAAAAATGACTCAATTTTGAAAATTTTGCAAGAAAAATGCAGCAAGTGCATACACACATGTTGATTATGCCAAAATGCACCATATAGCTTTCATAAATCTCAAGTAAGCATATCCTAACTAACCATTAGCATGAACCATAAGCTAGCTTTATTTGCTATTTGTTATGCTCAACACATCATATGTCTAAGATCAATAGGACTTGGAAGTAACTGGTTTACTCTCATTTGGCACATTTTTTCTCTCTTTGCCTTTTCTCTCCTTTATGCATCAACTTTGAATTTTTTCAATTTTTGGCACTTTTTGCTCTTTTGTTGAATGCATTTACACCTGCCCCTATGGGACATTTGTGGTGTTTTAGATCTCAAATATTTCATGTAAGCTTTATGCACTTTGTGCAACTTGATCTCTACTTTTGGCACTATGTGCTCTTTTGCATAACTTTGATCCTTATGTTGGTACCCTCCCCCAAACTCAGATTTTTCAATGTCCTCATTGGAAGTATATAGGGGGYTGTTTATGCAATKGCAACAAGTGGCTAAAATATTGAGAAAAGAACAAAGGGCCTACATCCTCTCTTAGTTGAGCATATGATGTGGATCAAAATGTGTTCCCAAGCAAAACAAGCTAGTTCTAGTGATACTAAGTGATTAGAAAGTGTAACTAAACTATAAGAATTATTTTAGCTAT